TATTTATCTGGCCTATAGTGCTTAATCAACAGTGATAAAAAAAAAATGAAAAAGTATGATTATTTCTGGTCACAATAGCTATTGTATAATTTTAGGTTTTTCTACTTTAGAAAGTTTTCAAATGATGTGTTTTCCTTCATTTGATACAGTTCTTTGTTTTTGAGTCTGTAGCGCCAGAGATTCGAAGATTGATGGTCCCCGTGAAAACCTACCGCCCAGCAACTTCTTTACGCTTCATTTTTCTGGACGTCATACAAAACAAAGGACTTAGATAATCAAATCAAACTGATGTTTTCTCTAGTCTGTCTTTCGTCTATGCCCCGCATTAGAGAACGCTGTTTGTTTTTCAGTAACATCAGATTTTGAAACCTATCAATCTCAACTTGACTAGCCGAACGTGAAATGTCGTTCTATGGTAAATCTTCAGTGCGAGACTTTGTAAACTATTTTAAACACGTTTGATCGTTTCTTGCGACTTTTCTAAGAGTTCCACGCGTATTTTTTGTCCTTTTGTTTTGTATTTTTACTTCCCTTCTAAAATAATCACAAAATGCCAAAAATATGTTGTAATATATTCCATCTTGAACGTAAGCATCAATAAATATAGGTTTTGTCTATATGACTAGATAGTTTCTTTCTTTTTTTTCTTTTCTTTATATGTCAATATCTGTCAGATAAAACACCCCGATAAAGAAAAATATTTTTGAATCGTAAATATTACTGGGGTATGAATAGGTTTGACCATAAGATGCAGATTCGAGCAATTTTTAAAAAAAAATTGCACATATTTTACATAGATAAAGCCCTTAATGTCAGGTATGGTCCAGTTAAGAATGTTGAAACTGTATTGCACCACAGGGACAGCTAAGGTGTTTATGGCTGATATAGTTTTGTGAATTCAGCTCGGCAGTCAGTACCAGACGCACACGCCTGTAGTACACCTTTCTTACTTTCTCCTTCATTCAATCTCCTTCGCTAATTCATAGCTACTTATAGGCTTAATCTTGTTGCAGTTCCCTAATCTTTGTGACAAAGTCTAAATCTATTGAGGGTGCTTCTGTAATTTTCCCTTTCTCGAATGTTACTTTTGCACATTTATCTAATCCGAAATCTGTACCTATGTCGTCACTGAAACATTTTACAATATTGAGGAGGCCCTTCAACTCATTGCCGTCTTTGGCAAATAGTTTGAGATCATCCATGTCGTGTAGGTGATTGAGTACTTTCTTGTTTAGTTTGTAACCATAGCTATTATTTTTTTAGTTCATGCGTAAGGTGGATTAAGGGTATACAAAACATAAGGGGTAAAGAGAGTCTCCTTGAAAGATTACTCGTCGGATATTCAGTCGGTTGGAGTTGACAGTACCTCTGGTGTGATTTACGTATGATGTGGTTTTTCCAAATTCCCATGCTGTGTTTAAAGAAATTTACTATCACGAGGCAGACTTTATACATTTCCAAAATCTTAAGTATCTAAGAGTGTGGCATACTATCAAAAGCTTTATGGTAATCTACTCATGCCGTGCTAAGATTTCTATATGGTCTCCTGCAATTTTCCAAGATCAGTTTGTTTATCAGTAGTTAATCTTCACGTCCATATCAATCTCTCCGGCATCGCTTCTGTTCCATTGGAAGAATGCTGTTTGCTTCGGGAAAAGAGTAAGTACGGTTCGTCAGGACAGTTGCGATCAATTTATACGTGGTGGATAGGCATGTTATTTGTCTATAAATTTTCAGGTCATCTGTTTCACTTATTTTTGGCATGAGATATGTAATACCTTCAGTTATCCACCCTGGGATTTCATTGGGATTATAAATAAGTATTAATAGAGTTTGTGTAAGGGTTTTATGGATTGATGGGAGATGACAGATCCAGAAATTGGGCACCTAATCATTGCCTGCGGATTTCCATTTCTGGGATTTCGTTAGAACTTACCTAAGAGTATTCATTGTTATATCTTCACACTCATGTAGATGTTCGTCCAGTATTCTTTCTTCTTCATATTGGATCCATTATGCATTGGGTTTATATTCCTTTGGGCTGCTTCAAATATCCTGCGAAAATGTCTACACTTTGTCAAAAGAAGGTTGCTTTTTGACATGCATAAATGATTTTCCAATATCCCTGTAAAATCTCTTAAGGTCCGTTTAGAACATTTTATTTTGCCGATAGAACCTACAACGTTTTTCGTATCATCTTGTTCTCTTTGTCTTTAACTGCAGTTTCGGTTTTAACATTTCCTTGATTGATGGAATTTCATTTAGAGATTTAATTTTATCTTTCCGCTTGATCTTGCTGCATTTGCGTGTTGAGTCATTTGGGTTTCTAGGGAGCTCATCCAGTATCGAAATCTCAAACCTGATTTCCTTTATTTCATCAGTTTTGTTTGAGAGTTACTCTGCTGAGTATTTTGATGATGTGGATTTTCGCTTCGATGATTTCACCTTTGGTTTTCAAGGAATTATACCTTAATGTAGTTGGGCTCTTCTTAAATGATATTGTCTGGATAACTGCAGGTATGTCTTAGATAGATACTTCGGTTTTATTTCCTCGGAGATTATTATTTCGTATCTCATTTATTTTAGTTTTTACCTCAAACTCTTCCATATTATTTATTTCTACTTTCATCTCTTCACAGTTTGAGTAATCGGTTATTGTATTCTGCCTTATATCTAGTTTTATCTTATCTGTTTCTGCATTTGAGAATCTTTAGTTTCGCACGACGTCCCTGCGGACATTGGCGAGCATGTTTGTGTTGAGATGAAGTCTTATTTCACTTCCTACCATAGTTCTCCATATTTGATATGTCTGATTCGTGGTGTTCTTTTGTGGATTTTCGATTGAACGATGAAAAAGGATGTCATGACTTGTTGATACTCTTTGCGAGACCATTTTGTTCACTTTCTTTTTATTAGTTGATTTGGTATTGAGTCACTTGATCAAATGTTGTAAATAGTCCAGATTTGGTGACCAAGTGTCTCTTCGTTGCTGGAAGAGTTTGTTCCAGTGACAGATTTTTCGGCCCCAGACTGGTTCCTCTCTGAGTTACGTGGCCCTTGTTGACCTGGGTGGCAGCCGATCCATCCGGTATGAATATTTGGTCGATTTGTAATTTTTTTTGCGTTATACCCTTGACCGCTAAGGGGTAATTTTGTACAAACTACTATCTCTAGGACTAGTATCGACCAAAACCAAAGAGCCCTTCTTGCCCATGAGATAGGGGGCGGGGGGAATTATATTCAGATTATAGGAGTGATTATATTCAGATTATAGCGGCGGGGGGAAGAGAATTATTATTATTATTTTCTATCATTACTACTACTACTACTACTACTACAATCATCATTATTAGTTCCTATATTTCTCTGTGAGCAATCAAAATATAGCAGAACCACCCTCCTTGCCTTTTAAAAATAAATCGGGATTTTTTGCAGTACTGGATTCTCCACAGTTTATTTTTCTAACCTCGAAAATCTTATGCAAGTTTATGTTAAACGCACAATTTCTTTCTCATATAAATTAACTGCAATTGGTCCTTCGCTTTACGCCATTTCAGCAGCCTTTTTTTTTTTTTTTCACTGGAACGCTCTGTTTTTTTGGGGTTTTTTTTAGGTTTTTTTTTTCGAAAAGCGGGAAAACCCCTGTAATTATATTACGTGTTATTCGCGTTGTTATTAATCCTGATTTGAAAGAAAACGAAGATGTGTAATGTAATCTGATACAAACGACTAAGGAAGATGCGGGGTTGGTGCTGATTTAATGAACTGATGACATAATAAGAAAAACAATATTAAAAAATGTTTGTCGTTCGAACAGAAACCAGGAAGGAAGAGGAAAGGGGATTAGGTAGGGGTGGGTTTTTTTTAAGGGTTTAATTTTATTTTGTTACAGTGCTGATTTTTTTTTTTAATTATGTCTTTTAAGACGTGGAATTGCATGAGATGAGACCAGTTGCATGAATGGTCTGATTACGTCATCTGTTCGTTCAAATTTTGTTCAACCTTCACAAATAAATACACACTATTATGAAAGATACTCATTAAAAAAATGATTTTTTTTTAAAAATCGGTATCACCCCCAAACAAGGCAGTAAAGCCACTAAGACGCAAGAGGTTACATACAGGGTGTGGATGAATTAGGAGCAGAAACATTAGTAATGAGAAGAAAAACAAATGAGTAAACAGGAGGACAGAGGATAGCCATTGACATTACATTTAAATTTTTGAAGATTAAAGTTAGCTAGGGAGTATGGAGCGGAGAAGGAATTCCACAAGCGAGAAGTGCGAGAAAAAAAACTGTTAATTATTTTTATGATTTTAGTTCCTGCTCCAATCGGTTTTTTTTTTTAATTTTTTTATCCTGCACATTTAAAAAAAATTTCATCTCTCAGTCAGTTATGTGCCATGCGCGCTTAGACGATCATGATGAGGCAGATTTTTTTCCCACAGTAGGATGCCATTTCTTCCTGCGGTAGACCAATTGCCATCTCGGTCTGTCCTGCTATTTACCCATAGCTGGGAGGAGAAGAGGATTCATACCTTTCCCAAGGGTATTAGCACGTAAATGAATGTAATGGATTCGGCTGGAATTCGACTGGATTCATAAATCCGAGCACATGCCTCCTCCTTTTCGTTGATACTTCTGTTTAAAAATACATTTTTCGTTCTGCCTTAAATTTTTTATATGCAATAGCTCACGTATACATACAGAGACAAAAATTATTTTTGGTCTCACATAATTTTTCGATTTATCATTAATCATGTATTTTTTTTTTCTTTGTCAGTTTGTTTTTCATCAACACTCCGTTTGCATGTTAATAATTCCTGTTGCACATCCCCCTCTTCTTCTTCTTTCCCGGTGTTTTTGTCTATTTATCGTCAGATACCATTTTCTATCCTCTTTTTAATTATTTTTTAATCTTTTCCCGTCATATTCATGCGATCGCCTTTGGAAACATTTCTTAAAATATTAATCTTCCTATAAAAAAAAAACTCATTCCGTATGCACTCTTCTCAACCACAATCTTTTCTTTTACGTTATGTATCTCTTTACCGATTATGACTCTCCACAACTTCCTATCCTTTGTAAGGTTTGACACTTTCGCATCCGCCCTTGCATACACCCTGCTATCCAAACGATAGTCAAACTCGATAAGTCTGTCTATATTTCTGAGATGAGGTATTATGTACATTATTTACATTATTCGGACTATTGTCCTCATCTTTGTCGCCATTATCACAACGTTTCGGCCGTTGTACGCTACGGCCTTCTTCAGGTGGTTGGAATATCGAACTGAATCCTTTATTTCGCTCACTGGGGTAGACAGTTCTAGTTCCACGTGTCATGGACACATGGCACAGTGGATAAAGGCGTCGGTTAGTTCCAGTGACAGAACCCAAAGGGTGTGTGTTCAATACCCGGCTAAGGCAGTGGAGATCTTTCAGAGGGAAAATTAACAGGAGATAACTGACATCCATCAAACATAGCACATGAAATTATGGTTGAATTTATTTCTATGTATGACTAGTGTATTAGCTATGTTGAACCATAATTTTAAAAATGCTACACTCATAAAAAAGTAAATAACTCACTAAATTCTAGAGAGTGCCGCCATAGATTACCCATATATATATATATATATATATATATATATATATATTTGTATGTATGAGGTACGCAAGCATCTCCTAAGTGTGTCTTCTATATAGACATACTGCGAAAAAAGAGGTCGTTGCTTAAAAGAGCTTAATGGTAGACCCTTACTAAATTTTAAGTAATTTCAGTTGCATTTCAAGTGTGCAAGATAAAATTATTTTGAGAAAAGGAAAAGAAAAGTTTCAAAGGTGTACATCAAGAGTGTTTAATACCCTGTGAAACAGTAGAACCTCTGTAAAGGAGCTTAATGCTACAAGCAAAAGAGTTCTCAACAATACCTGACCCTCAAAATTTCCCATGAGAGTGCCTATAATATGAATAAAGTAAGCAGATCCTAAGAGCGTCCATAATAAACACATGCCGGAAAAAAAGGAATTAATTTTTCCTTGAGGTTTTTTTTTTTTTTTTTTTTGCTTTGATTTACCGTATCGGATTTAACGACAGGTTCCTTCTGCCCAGAGGGACGCATGTTCGAATCCTGCCAGAGAGCGTAAATTTTGCTTTAAAAATATTTCCCGATTATTCAGGCCACTAGACAAAAATAAATATACTGTTTAATAAATAAACAGAATAAATGGACAATTTTGTTTTACGCAATTTGAACAATTTTATATAATATATATATATATATATATATATATATATATATATATATATATATATATATATATATATATATATATAAGTGCATAGGTATGCAGAAAATAGAAAAGAACACGTTGGGTGCATAATCCGGGGTTCCTTAGTATTTTTGTTTTATTTTAAGAAGACAGTGCTCCATACAGAAGTAGAGCTTTATTATAATAATATTTTTTGTTTAATCATGTTTGAATCATATTTTTAAACAATATATATATATATATATATATATATATATACGATATTTTTATAAATACAAATATTTAAGTGAATGTTCTGTTTATAATAAACGTTATTAACAACATTCCGACAGGAATCGACCTTGTATCCTACATAGAACCGTCATATAGTCTGATGTGCTATACCAGGTAGCTACAGAGGAAGATATTAGCGTTCGAGAAAAATCATGGGAAATTTATAGTTTAAAAGCAGTAATTCGAGTCACCTAACCAGACGCTTCCTTCGTAGCTAAATGATAGAGCGCCACAATCTATATGATGATTCCATGCAAGATTCTTGTCGGAGGACGCATATTTTCGATGACAATTTCTCGGACATTCAGACATACTGTTTATTATAAACAGAGCATTTACTTAAATATGTGTATCGATAAAAATAACGTATAAACAATAAATATATTAAAATAATTGTCGGACTTAGTCCGTTTCATATATATATATATATATATATATATATATATATATATATATATATATATATATATACATTTCGATAAAAACGACTGACAAGGAAATTAAATTCTCTTTGTCTAGGCAAGTCCGTCATCATTAATACTGATCAGTCAAAGTGATTTTTTTAGTATCTCTTTATGGTTTTGGATTTCATTATTTAAATGTTGAATTGCATTTTTAACTCTTGTTAATAGTCGTAAAACAAGGATTTTTTTCCCGAATGTTGTAGTATTGTTGTCTTTGTTGGCTGCCAGGTCACGTAATTTAATAATTGTTTATTTGGGCAGCAATCCCTCTTTTATACAAGTTTGATTTTAAAGAAAATTGTATAAAAAAGGCATTGTTACCAAATATGCTCTCGTTCGCCGATTGAGCACTATGGGGAAAAGGGAATTTTTCACGGCTGCTGCTTTAAATGCATTGCTCTTCGTAAGAATTGAGTGCTATGGCGACAGGTATGGCGTCTATATATATCAGGTATATAATGAGTTTAAAAATTCCTGTTTTCTGCCGTGCGTCGATAGCATAGTGGTAAGCGTCTCTGACTGATGTCAAATCGGCGTAGTTTCGAAGCAAGCGGATGTCTAGCCACACTGATGAGTTCTGATACAGCGAAACAGTCTACGGATATATATATATATATATATATATATATATATATATATAGAGAGAGAGAGAGAGAGAGATACACCTAGTGAACCAGACAAACCTACTTAGGTTTCACCTAAACGGATCATCAGGAAAGTAAGTTACTTTCCCTGACGATCCGGCTTAGGTGAAACCCAGGTAGGTTTGTTTGACTCACTAGGTGTATCTAGGTCTGCTCTCTACGGTTGTATTGAGCGCTTTTGTTAGTTGTTTACTCGTATCGAGGTTTTTTCTTTGGGCTTCAGACCTGCATCTGTGCGATTTTTTTTCCTCGAGATTGATTTGATTATTAGCAAATCAAAAATTCGAGAGTTTTTCGAAACGATTCTAGTTATCTATAATTATATATATATATATATATATATATATATAATATATATATATATATATATATATATATATATATATATATATATATATATATATATTATTAATGATAATAACATAGTATGGGTAATTGATGACAAAATGGAAAATCATATTTCATACGTACCATTCTGTAAAGTGACTTCTTGGGGAAAAAACAATGTTTTTTTTATTACTAATATTGCTTTTACTACTTTGTGAGCTTTTCCTAGTAGCAAATAAGTTGTTTGCTTGCAGCTGTTAATTTGTAATGGAACTTCGCGGCTAATTCTAACGTTCCACGTACTTTCGACTATCAGTGGCCGTTTTCAAGGAAAGAAAGTCGAGATAAACTGCGTGACGTTTATGTGTAAATTGAATGTTGGCTCATGTTCTTCGCCTGGGAAGTAGATCTTAGCGTCACGTGGCTAAAATGTCCCTACACTTGAAAGGCATTTTGACCCATGCGAGCTGAGATTGAAACAAATTTTATTGACAGGGGATGCCCTCCTTTGATGTAAAGGGCTACACTGTCTCCCCCTTATTTCTGTTTGTCACACACGTAACCCTACCAGTGTCCATTTCATTCGTCTACAGATCAAAAGAGACAGACAGCGGCACATATATAAAATATTTCATCAATTTCTTGACAGATGTTATAACGCACTCATAGGCAGACACATTAGGAATGTATAACAAAACATTAAACAGAGAGATTTTGTCGGTTAAACTTGATAATTGATTTATTATTTCATTATTTTAGCTACATGACCGTGTAGCGGAAAAGGGATACCAACACCACAAAATACAGACTTACTCTCATAGAAAGAGAATTCATAGTACCCAATGAAAATATCCGATATCGAAATATTGTAATAATATCTCAACAAACGTACCCGCCCCCACCTCCGCCAGGCCTCTGAACTTCGCCCGCAGAAAAAATTACCCTGAAATCATTCAATTCCTCTGAGAGCTACATTGAAATTCAAAACTTTCTTTATATTAAATAATCCTTTCGTTATCTGATGCTGCCAAACTATGTGAAACGGTTTTAGACATGGCATTATTTTTTACATCATCTTCTACGTGACGTTTCAGTACAGGACGTGGGAGATCATGATGCTCCACGAATTCCTGTCCTTTGTAGTGCTGAGTAATATTTGTTTCTACTAACCATGTTCTGCGAACAAGATAGATAGATAGATAGATAGATAGATAGATAGATAGATAGATAGATAGATAGATTAATAACAAACTCAAATATATTGATAATAGTTGCTCATAAATATGAATAAACCGAGATAGATAGATAGTAGATAGATAGATAGATAGATAGATAGATAGATATGAACAGACATAGATAGATAGATAGCGAGATAGATAGAGAGATAATAAACAAACTCAAATATATTGATAATAGTTGCTGATAAATATGAATAAACCGAGATAGATAGATAGATAGATATGAACAGACGTAGATAGATAGATAGATAGATAGATATTAACAAACTCAAATATATTGATAATAGTTGCTGATAAATATGAATAAACCGAGATAGATAGATAGATAGATAGATAGATAGATATTAACAAACTCAAATATATTGATAATAGTTGCTGATAAATATGAATAAACCGAGATAAATAGATAGATAGACAGATAGATAGATAGATAGATAGATATGAACAGACGTAGATAGATAGATAGATAGATAGATAGATATTAACAAACTCAAATATATTGATAATAGTTGCTGATAAATATGAATAAACCGAAATAGATAGATAGAGAGATAGATAGATATTAACAAACTCAAATATATTGATAATAGTTGCTCATAAATATGAATAAACCGAGATAGATAGATAGATAGATAGATAGATAGATAGATAGATAGATAGATAGATAGATATGAACAGACGTAGATAGATAGATAGATAGATAGATAGATAGATAGATAGATAGATATTAACAAACTCAAATGTATTGATAATAGTTGCTGATAAATATGAATAAACCGAGATAGATAGATATGAACAGACGTAGGCAGACAGATAGATAGATAGATAGATAGATAGATAGATAGATAGATAGATATGAACCGATGTAGATAGATGTTGCTGCTCGTAATAAATGTAAACGAATCCTCGAAGAATCTAAGTTCCTGTTTAGCGTGTGAATGGGACATCGCATAGCATCTAAGACTTTTGGCTCTCATGGTTACTACTGGTTCTGTAATAGGTTATTAAATAAGTGTAAGGTTTCTATTCATCCCCTCTTCAATCAATTTGAGGTGTTAACATCTTTTGATGATAAAGCTGAATGCTTTGCCCGTAATTTTTCTTTAAACTCCACTCTTGACTCATCTGGAGCATCCCTGCCTAAGTTCCCACTTAGAACCGTATCTCTGTTGAGTGATATGCATATATAATCCTTTCTATGGTTTCTTTGCTATCATCTCTAACCTAGATCACCACAAAGCATGTGGACCCGATAGCATCCCTGTAATAGTCATTAAGAAGTGTGCTCCCGAACTGGCTGCTCTTTCTTCCAAACTGTATAATAAGTGTAGGTACCTCCACTTTCCCGCTGAAAAAAATAAAAAATAAATAAAAAATAAAATAAAATAAAATAAAATAAAAAAAACAGCATAGCATGATGAAGAAACGCGCCCAACCTAATAAAAACAGTTTTCACATCAAAATATTTATTATGTAAGAGGAAAGAACAGAGCGTTTTTTTTATTATTTTATTAAAGTTTTTAATCATTTCTACCACGTTGTCTAAGTAATATTTACAACTAGCAGTAGAACCCGGCATTGCCCGGGGATGTAACAGTAAGAGATAGATCAAGTATCGACCATCATAAAGACTGAAAAATAAATTTGACAAAGATTATTAAGGTTGACGGACACGCATGTCTTAATTAGATTTTTTTTTGTTTTTTTGTTTGTTTGTTTTATTTTTTTACGAATTGGTCAAACCCAAACTCAAACAAAAACATTGTTTTCAATCGTTATGAGTTTGTCGATTGAATAGAATTTTATTATAAACAATTGTCTTGTAAATGGAATTTTTAAAGCATTCTGAATGTAAAAATAAAGAAAAAAAGTGTGCAAGACAATAAGAAACACTACCCGCCAAAAAAAAGTGAAGTTGTGTTGAAATCGGTTGAAAAATGTAGGAAATCCGATCCCATATAAAAAAAAACGAACACGCACACACACAAACAACCTGGGTTTTATAATAAGTATAACTCGATATGAGTTGTCCCCCTTTCATTCTCGCGATGCCTCTTAATCGTGTTTTCAGATTGATTTCGCGCAAAAACAATTGTGTTTTTCTAATTTTTGGCACTGTCAGAACTACCGCAAGATAATTTTACGTAGTCCTGTGATGTTTTGTTGAAATCGATTGAAAAATGTAGGAAATCCGATCCAATATATAAACGAACAGACACACACACACAACCTGTGTTTTATAATAAGTATGATTATCGTTTTAGTGCCTTTTTTTTTCAGGTGAAAAACACATTGATTTGGAAAATCTTACAAAAATGAAATAATTGTCTGATTTTAAAGAAATTTTCAGGATTTATTTACAAATTAATTAAATAATTTTTGAAATTTTTTTAGAAAATCTTTGTAAAAAATATTTTTTTTTTTACATATGTTACTTCCTACTTACTTAATTTCATGAATTTTCAAGAAATTAAATTTTTCCTAAAAAATATTTTGATATTTAAATGCAGGACTCCTTGGAGAATGTAAATAATCAAATTTTTATTTTCAAACTATACACATTTCCCGAAAATCTGCTCCGAATCATAAAATAAAAAAAAATGCAATAAAACTGACATTATTTAATTAGAAAAGCTTTTGCTTTTTTAAATTAGATTTATTAAAGACATTATTGCCGTAAAATAATTTTTCCATGAATAATGAATTTTTACAAGAATTGTTTTCATTTTTTATTTAATTATAATAATTTATAATATATAAATCGTTTGAAATTCGGCATTACTTTCCTAGGTTCGGTGATATTGTTATTAAGTAAAACTATATTTACAAATCAAAAATTAAAAAGCTTGAAATGGTTTACATCAAGGCTTTTAAAATAACTTCTAATTTTTATTATGTATATGAAATATTACGTGACGTACCTCTGTTTAAAAGTATGGTTGACAGTTCACGGCATTATCAGAAAATAAGAGTGATGACTACAGCAAATTTAAATTCAACATTCCTAAAATTAGATTACGGAGAACATTTTCCACATTTTTAAGATTACTGAGTACGTACTTAAAATTATATATAAAAAAATGGCTCTCACTCGTCTTAAATTATGTTTTAACAAATAAATTCGCCGTAGAACAAGAAAAAACATGTCAACGCCCTATCACTGACTGTTAAGTAATCTACCAGTGACAAACGACGGTGACAAGCGCATAATCACCGCTACCGTTTGTTTTAAAAATCTATTTCTCTCTTATTTTAAACTGAAAGGAATTATTTTTTCAAATCAGATTAATTATACATTAAATCTGCTAATATTCCTGAAATAAAATTTCAGAAAATTATATTTTATTTTTGGAAGATTTTTAAAACGGAGAATTAACCTTTTTTTTTTACAAATGTGTCAAAAATGAACGATTTTAATCACCTTACTGAAAGCGGCCAAAAAGTTGAGATTCCAATCAATATAATTTCTATTTGGAATACACCAGAGTATTTTGCTTATTAGAAATAGTAAATTTAATCATTTAGTTTTCAATTAAAGCTAAAAAAGAAAGCTTCAAGAATGAAATTATATACATACATACATACATACATACATACATACACACACACACACACACACACACACACATATATATATATATATATATATATATATATATATATATATATATATATATATATATATATATTATTATTATTATTATTATTATTATTATTATTATTAAATACACAGTGATGCTGGTTCTTTTTCCGGGTGGTTTTTTTCCTGGGCAGGCAGAGTTTTGTTATAAAGTGCTCGATATCAAAAGTTAGAATAGAGCGTTAATAGAATTAATTTGGAAAACTTTAGCACTTAGCTGAGTGATATTAGTTCCATCATGCCTACTACTACGTAGTTTCGTGAGCACTTCGATATAACATGTTCACTCTTCAGGGCTTGTTGTCTTCTCTGCTGCTATTTCTCAATTTTACTGTATTTATGTGCGCTTTGTTGTAATTTGATATCTTTTTAAGTGTGTGGTTTTTCAGTGAATTGGTGTTGTTGTTATTACTTAAATGCTATGTGGTTTCTTGGTCTTTGTTTGCTTTGTATTGTGGTGACCTCCTTTTGATCGTATTTTACTTAATTGCTTTATGTGGGATTGGTTGTTTTATAATTGTATGTCAGCTTGGATTTTTTTACGTCGTGGTTACGTGTTTGACCTAGCGTGTATGTGTGTCTGTGAGTTTAATTTTTTCTGTTTGAATATATATTTTTACCTGGTTTTTATTTGGGTGAGATTCGGTACATGTTGTGGGTATCTATTTATAGCAGATATCTATTTGGGTGTCTGAATTTCCCCAGATTTCGTGTTTCTTGTTTAATAGTTTGCTTTGGATTTTAAAGGTAACTATTGTTAATTTCTTTTCTATGCATAGTTATGTGGGAGTGCTCTATTTATGATATCCCATTTGATTTATATATATGAAAGTCATCATCTGTTGTTCAAGTCTTTAAGAACTCTGATGAACCCCCCGACACTTCCAACTATCAGTCCCTTACCTCTTTTTAGGAAATACCTAGTAGACCTAATCAATGCCAAATTGGTTACTCATCTCTCATCGTGAGGTCTTTAATAAGAGAAGCAATATGGCTTTCGTTTCTCCAGGTCAACCGCTAATGTACTGAAGATAATCTCGTAAAGAATCTACCATGCTCTAGATAAAAACGGTGAAGCCTAAGCTCTAGCATTTGATCTGGAAAGCCTTTGACAATATCTGCCTATATCTATGAGATGAGGTATTATCATTACTTACATTATTTACAATATCCTGACTATAATCCTCATCTCCATTGCCATATTCACAACGTTTCACCTGTTGTACGCTCCGATCTTCTTCAGGTGATTGGAATTTCGAACCGAACCCTTTATTTCGTTCACCGAGGTCGATTGTTCTAAATCCACGTGCCATGCCTCTACCGGATGTCTCAGTTATTTCCCTTTAAAGTTTTAAGTTCACTACTGCTATAGCCTGGTATGGAACTCACAACTATTTGGGTCTAGTCACTGGATCTAACTAACGCCTTTAGCCACTGGACCATGTGTACTTGAACAAACACCTGATAAAGGCTGGAGTGTACAACGGCCGAAACTTTGTGAATATGGCAATGAAAATGAGGATAACGGTCTGAATAATGTAAATAATGTAAGTAACCTTTGACAATGTTTGGTATACAGGTTGTCTCCAGAAGCTGAAAAGTTACGGTGTCTCCGGGCATATTTTTGAATTGATCCAGTGAAATCGTGTGATGAAGGTTATCTTGAACGGCCACTCGTCTAGATCCTTTTCGTACTAACGTGGGCTCTATCCTTGGTCCTACTTTGATTTTAATTTTCATTAATGAACTTCCCGATGACATAAGCTCCTGATTTGATATCTACGCTGATAACACAACCATTTACTCCTGTCTCGTACTAACGTTCTCAGCTGACATGAAGGGGAAAGACGATATTGAATCCATTTGCTAAGGAACTTGGTTCAGTCAGTCATCTAAGCCAGTTTTTTCTCTCCATAATCACTCTTATATATCTATAAGTTTGCCATTCATCCATGCTGAGAATATTGCTGCCACATATGGTCCGGTGCCTCCTCTATTTATTGATAAAATCCAAAGAATAATCAGCAATATTATTGGTTCTGATCTGGCGGCTCGGCTTCAGTCAATTTCGCACCGTTGTAAAGTTACTTCTCGGCGTCTTTTCTATAAATACTTTTCAAAGTGACTTCTAGACGTTTTCTTTTAATGTAAGCGCAGTACTCGACAGGCGTCAACATTTCGCACATTTACAGCTGAGCTAGCTAGATGTAGCCGTAAGTTCTATGCTAACAGTTTCTTCTCTCGCACTTCTCGCTTGTAGAAATCTCTTTCGGCTACAGGCTTTCGAGCCAACTTTAATTTGTAAAAATTTCAATGCAATGTCAATCGTTATCTACTGTCATTCTGATTACTCTTTCCTCTATCCGCTCATTATTAATGCTTCTGTTCCTAATTCTTCCACTCCCTGTAAACCCTTGTGTCTTAGTGGCTTTACTGCCTTGCATGGGGTGATACCGATTAAAAACAAAAAAGATAAATAGACAGAGGAATATGAATCGACTAAGATAGCTAGCTAGATATTAACAAAGATAGGTGTTGATAAATGTTGGGACGCACCCACCTTCTGAGGAGAATGGACTGATCTCTCTACGATATAGGTCAGTGCTAGAAAGATCAGGGGAGATCACGAGATCTAAGAGATCAGGTGACCATTGCACTTCCGTCTCTCGACCGGAAGATACCGTTGAACTGTAGACTCTTGCTAATTGTTATTACTAACCTGCGGTCGTTATTACTAATCACTCTGTTGTTAAATACCTCTTCAAATATACCAGTATTTTTCCCTACATATGTGTTTGTCCTTATTTGAATACACACACGCGGGAACACTCCCAACATCTCAACAATAAATATGAACAAATATAGATAGATAGATAGATAGATAGATAGATATATACGAACTGTAAGATAGATATAGATAGATAGATAGATAGATAGATAGATAGATAGATAGATCATTGGACGGATGTAATTCGATTTCCATCTGAGCCCCAACGCCCTCGCATTATCAACTTGTAACTCAATCCAATGTCGCCAAGTTAAGAATCTTGTTGGTGACATTTGGATGACAATGGATTTTCTGTTGCACGCTTCTATTGAATTCGTTTCGATTTGATATAACAGTAAGACAATGCCCTCTTCCTCTCTGCCATCTCTCCCTCTCTTTTATCCCCCCTCCCTCTTACTCACACACCGGCATAAACGCGCTCAAACAATCCGAAACTGAATGATTCGGTGCTCAACGGCTGATATCTTCATTGATTCATTCAAATATACGATCAATGAGAAGAGCCGCCATCTTTGATATCAGAAGCCGACGACGCGGGTTCTATTTTATTAAAAAATGATTCACTTTCCAGTTCATTTTACTTTTACATCTTCTCTAGTCGTTCCAAAGCAATTTATTTTTCGGTGGCTAGATGCATTATTGGGACATTGTTTGATCAGGAGGACCAACGTGGCCGAGTGTTCTAACGAAAATTTCCCCTCCGGGGTGCAAATTCAAATCTTGGCGGAGGGCGCAGATTTTTCTAAAAAAGATTTCACGAATATTCTGGCCGGGAGATGTAAATAAATATACTGTTTAATAAATAACCAAACACAGATCATCTACTCAAAGATGAGTATATATATATATATATATATATATATATATATATATATATATATATATATATATGTAAAGAAAAGAACAGTAAGATATATAATCCCGTGTTCTTATTGATAATTTTTTTGTTTTTTACAAAACAGTGCTCAATGTAAATTTACAGAGCATAAATATTATAGATTAACTCATTGAAAATATGTTTTTTTTCGCTACACAGTAATAACCATGTTTCAAAAATGGAAGCTAAAACCTTTAAATTTAATTATTTAATTAAATTAAAAGCATTAGTTCCGTTTCATCTTCAAGCGAATTCCAATATTCGCATGATGATGAAACGGAACTAATGCTTTTAATTTAATTACATAATTAAATTTAAAGTTTGTATGATCCATTCTTGAAACATGGTTATTACTGTGTAGCGAAAAAGACATATTTTCAATGAGTTAATTTATATGGTGTATTTCGGCATATATATATATATATATATATATATATATATATATATATATATATATAATTATTTATTTAAAAATATGATTCCAAATCGCGACATAAGAAGTCCCATGTTTCAAAACAAGAGCCTAAAACTTCAATATAATTATTTAAATTAAACTGAGTAAAAATTAAATTGAGTTAAAATAAGCTCTGTTCCATCTTCAAGCGAAATTTTTTTGGAATAACGTGTTTCTGAAATTTACGTGTTTTAAAAATTGAAATCAAAATTTCCATGGTAACAGCTAGGGCGAATTGTTTAAGATGCGTAGGCGGGTGTTGGGTGTTAATAATAAGTATCAGTATAAAGTTACTTTCGTAGATATCAAGTCAGGGAAAGGTAGGGGTGTCTAAATTTGAAACGGAAGATGTATTAACCCTCGTCTAGTTTGCATGTCTATGGAGATTTATTTATTTTTTATTTTATTTTTTTTTATGAAAGGATTTGTGCATATAAAAAAAACTGTCGTAACGTTTGTTTTTTGACGACTTCATAAAGGGTTATCTTTTTTTAGGGTATTTAAACTATTTATTTCGGCTATGGATTATGAAGGGTGTTATATTGTATGCATGTTTTCAAACCATGAATCTGATTAGTGGGCTATGGATTAAACAAGTTATTATATTGTATGCTAGTTTTTAGCTAATAGTTCAAACCAAAAATCTGATGATGCCTACAAAAAACCGTTAACTCGTGTCTATTGTTTAATAGATTATTATTATTTAGAAGCTTAATTATGTGCAATGTCTCATGGAGGCATAAAGGGCATGGGTCATCCTAAGTTTTCCATGTTCTAGCCTTGTTAATAATTTTCCATTTAACTTTAGGTGTCCTATTTGTTTCCTTCAGATGCCAAAAATATTTAGATAGGGAAGTCTATATATATATATATATATATATATATATATATATATATATATATATATATATGTATAATTATTTATTTAAAATATGATTCGAACTCGCGACATAAGAGGTCTCATGTTTCAAAAAACAAGAGCCGAAAACTTCAATATCATTATTTGAATTAAATTGAGTTAAAGTAAGCTCTGTTCCATCTTCAAGCGACTTTTTTTTTTTTTTTTTGGAATAACGTATTTCTGAAATTTACGTGTTTTAATAATTGAAATCAAAATTTCCATGGTAACAGCTAGGGCGAATTGTTTAAATTGGGTAGGCGGGTGTTGGGTGTTAATAATAAGTATCAGTATAGAGTTACTTTCATAGATGTCAAGTCAGGGAAAGATGGGGGTGTCTAAATTTGAAACGGAAGATGTATTCACCCTAGTCTGGTATGCGTGTCTATGGAGATTTATTTATTTTTTATTTTATTTTTTTTTTATTTATAATGAAAGGATTTGTGCATATAAAAAACTGTCGTAACGTTTGTTTTTGACGACTTCATAAAGGGTTATTTTTTTTTTGTAGGGTATTTAAACTATTTATTTGGGCTATGGATTATGAAAGTTATTATATTGTATGCTTTGTTCTTAGCTAATTATTCAGACCATGGATCTGATGATATATATATATATATATATATATATATATATATATATATATATATATATATATATATATATATGTCGATCTGCATAAAATGTCTAGTCAATAAGAAAGAAGATTCAGTTTTTGTGGTCTTTTGACCTTTGATTTTTCTGTCTGTGCGTAATGTTGTATCCTATAAAGTTTTTTTTTTTTTTTTGCAATTTTGTCCCCGTAAAAGTTTTTCCTGTGTATATATTATTCCTTTCTATCATGCCGAGTTTTATATTGGATGCTAATACTAGGTAACCTGGCACACAAATGCAATGTGTTATGGTAACACAATTTTTTGTCATTATTATTATTATTATTATTATTATTGGTGGTGTTAGTAGTGGTAGTAGTAGTAATAACATTTCGTGTTTTCCTTATTTACTGTTTGATGCAATTATTTACTAAGTCTTTTGCGTAGGACCTGAGATAGAGTAAGTTTTTTTTTTTTTCTTAGAATGTTATTTGCACATGAAACTGAGAAAGTTTTTCTGGGTGTGGCCGATTCTCATCAGCACAATATCAGATCGTCATTAGTTTGTAGTGATTTCCCTAACTTGCGTATCAGTAATTATTTTAATAACTTCTCTTGCTCTTATTATTACTGAAGTAAAGTTTGAATTTAAAGGTCCCATTTTATTTCCGGGTCCTGGTGTTTTAAACTATTCTTTAACCTCTTCCCTATCGTTTTTTCCAAGCTAAATATTATGACCAACAGCGAGATTAACCGATAGCAAATCCCCTGCATACTCCAGTACACACTCTTTTTTTTTGTAGTGCTTTCGTCTTGATTCTTCCAATTGTTTTCAGTTCATCCAGCCTTTTTCCCGGGCTTTCGCTGACTGACCCCAGCTCGCCGTTAACGGGCAAATTTATTGTTGTTGTTATTTGAGATCTTCTCAGTCTTTACGATGATTCAGTCGTATGATGATGATTCTATTTCAGTTGCTACGCCCAGCTGGGGAGAGCACCTGAGCTGTTCGGAACAGCGCTGCCACCTGCATACACTTATTGATATCTAGTATTCCCTACGGATTCTACGAGTCAGAAAGATCCACTGAAATATTACCGAGGGACCAAAGGGGACAAATCGAGCCATTGCTGGCTGTATTTCTCTGTTTGCCCTGCCAGTTCTTGATACCTCCGTAGGTTCACCTGCTTCTCCTTAACGCTCACAACGTCTAACAAAGTCCATTCATGTCTACCCTTGTGCACAAGCGTGATGTCGCCAAGTAATTATTACTTGGATTCTGTTGTCACGCAGTGTACCTTTTTTAATACACTGAGTACATTATCAAGTCGCAACAAGATCATTTCTCAAAATAGGAGCAGTGGCCAAAAGAGCTGATTTTGCAGATGGATCCAAGACGGTATAATATCCTCAGGTGCTCAAGGAAGACACATAGCTTTAATGGGATTGATCCTAATAAGCCAATCACCACTGCAATCACCTTGACATTCCCTTATTGCATTCCAAACAATCTTACCATCTCGTCTTTCAAATTAGTTTATTAATTTTCTTATTTTCCTTGTTTGCTATATTTGCGTCATTTGGTACGGTAACATCAATAATGTGACAGTTAATGGGACCTTTATCTAGCACAATATACGGGCGGTTTCACTGTCAGTGTAGAAGAGATTGCTACTTGTTATAATGGAACACACCTATTCTATAGTTAATAGACTCTTCCACCTATAATAAGTAGGAGTAGTAGTAGCAGTAGCTCAGGGAGTTGGTCAGTCAGTCGACTGGCTGATCGGTTGAACTCTCTGCCTTCGGGCGGAGAGGAACCCGAAAGAGGCTACGCCGAAGGGCGGCTTCTCTTTCGGGGAGGTAAACCGATCCTGAACCCGTTTATACGGGTTCAATGGACATAATTTGGGCCGAGCCCACTGGCTAGGAGGTCCCACGTTAAACCGGCCTTGTGCCATATGATGCCCTCGTGTGGCGGGGGTGACTAAATATCGAGTTGGTCAGTCAGTCGATGTCGGACGACCGTTAGTCGGATATTAAACTATCAATCACCCCAACTAGATTACTTCGTCATTACCAATTATATCAAGTTACTAACGTTTTGTACGTCGAAGCTATTTTAGGACCGACTTAGTACAAATACAAACTTCCACTGTGAAACCACTGCATATCACTACTAATACTACTACTACTACTATTATTATTATTATGATTATTATTATAATAATTATTATTATTATTTCCTTTTATTTTTGTTGTATACACATTTCCTTCCGGGTCCCAAACAGAGACATAAGACCTAATGGCTTCATGACATATTCTACTGTTCATTTAAAAAAAAAACAAACAAACAAAAAAAAAACACACACACAGCTGACACACATTTTGCATAGATAAATCTCTTCGAAATGTGTGAGCTGTACATGTGAGAACATTTTTTGGTATTTCTT